ATTCAATGCAATAAAATTCAGAATCAAAGAAAAAGCGTATAAAAATCAGAGAAAAAGGAAACAATGAATTTTTAATGTTTATCTTAACAAAGATAACAGATAAAGAGTTTTTTTTAAAGTATTTGTGTTTAAGCATTTGCTGAGCTGTGGTAGACTTCAACTAATACAGAAGAGTGGAAATGTTGGGAGGTAAGTTGAAAGCCTGAGGCAGAACTCTCTCATAGTTACTGCAGTGCAGAACTAGAAGGGACTGTCTAAGAAAGGGAAGTTCTCCTTCCACTGAAATCATCATACAGTGGTTCAATTATTTGATGATAATAGTTTCTTCCAAGCTCAGACTCTTGTCTTTCCATCTTATATCAAAAACTGCAAACAATAAAGGCAAGGAATGGGCTTCTGCTGTGATATTGTGTGTGTGTGTGTGTGTGTGTGTGTGTGTGTGTGTGTGTGTGAGAGAGAGAGAGAGAGAGAGAGAGAGAGAGAGAGAGAGAGAGAGGTATCATCATGAGGAGAACCTAACAGATTAACATAGTCCTTTCCGAACACACTGGCAGGTTAGCAGGATAAGGCTGCATGCAGGGGCTACAAAAGCTGGACTTTCTGGGCACAACAAAGAGTTGACAGACTACAGAGTGAAGCTATGGAGGACAGTGACATCACTGAGGAGGAACAACTGGCCGGATCTATTCTGGTGAGCTATGTATGGGAGGGGGTGAGGTGTGCCCTAGATGTCCCCTAGACAGAAATGATCTCCACTTCTTTGGACAGTATTGCAAGAGAGAAGGGGAAAAGCGGTAAAAATGTGTCTCTACTTCCTGGTTTATTAGAAAAAAAAGAGTTCCCAGGCAGGACAGATGACTCAGTGTAAGATAATGGAGGTGCATTGTCCTACTTAAGAGGCAAAACAGACCAAAGACAGTGAAAAGCAGTATTGGAAGAATGTGACACACAGCTTATTCTGTTGGAGTTATGTGATGATGGTGATGGTCATAATGACAGAAAAAGCCCATCAAAAATGTTGTGAGGACATCTGAATGTATAAATCCACCCAAGAATGAAACTAGATCCTTACCTCTTATACAAAAAAGTATTCCCAAACAAAAATAGATCCATATATAGGAGTTATTATAACTATAAAACTCTTAGGAAAAAACATAAGGTTAAATTTTATGATCTTAGATTATGACCAAGGATTTCTTATTTTTGACACCAAAACACAAGTGATAAAAGAAAGAACAGGTAAGTTAGACTTCTTTAATACTGAAAACTTTTGTGCTTCAAAGCTTAACAGCAAGAATTAAAAAGACAATTCTCAGGAAAGGAAGAACATTTGCAAGTTATACACCTGATAAAGTTCTTATTATTAAATAGCTCAAATTCTTACAATAATAGAAAACACCATTAAAATGAATAATGATTTGAAATACAAATCAAAAGTCCAATAAGATACCACCTCTTATCTACAAGGGTGAATATTAAAAAAAAAGTCACAGAATAACAAGTGTTAGTAAGGACGCCATACATTGGTGATGGGAGTGTAATATGGTGCAAAGACTTTGGAAAACAATTCAGTAACTCTTCAAAGAGTCAAATGCAGAGTTACTATACAATCCAGAAATGCCATTCTTAGGTTTATATTCAAGAGAATTGAAGACACGTATTCACACATGAATTTATATTAGCAGGATGTGGTAATGCACACGTGTAATTCCAGCTCTCCAGAAGCCTAAGGCAGAAGGACTGCAAGTTTGAATCCAGGCTGAGGCAACTTAGCAAGACCCTATCTTGGATTAAAAATACCTTTAAAAAGGGATAGAGATGTAGTTCACTACAGGCCCTGGGTTGAATCCTCAGTACAGGGGGGGGGGGGAAGAACTTGCACATAAAGATTAATAATAGCGTTACTCCTAGTAATAGAACTGTGGAAAGAATCCAGAAAAATCACCTACGAGTGAATAAATAAAATGGTAAACTCTGAAAACTTCAGGCTAACTGAAAAGTTCCAGTCACAGAAATTCTTATTGAACGAAATTATTCATATAGAATGTCCAGATAGACAAATACATAGTGATGGAGAGGAGATTAATCTGCCAGTAGCTGGGGGAGGGAACAATGGAGAGGGACAAAAACAAAACAAAACAAAACAAAACTAAAATTGACTGAGGTGATGGTTGCACAGCTCTGAATATATTATGCAACAAGAATTTGTACGGTTTCAAAGGATCAGTTTTATGGCATGTAAATTCTATTCAGTGACATTGATATAAAAATTAATATGTTAGTACTCATGCAAAAATAAACATCTTCACAATACATGGGGAAATCTCTTAACTTTTTTATATTAAAAATTTTCAATTATAAAAGCAATACATGTTTGCTGGGCTTGGTGACACACACCTATAATCCAAGCACTTGGGAGGATGAGGCAGGAGATTGCTACAAGTCCAAGGCCAGCTTGGGCTACAAAATGAGTTCAAGGCCAGCCTGAATTACATAGCAAAATTCTGTATCAAACAAAACAAATACCAAAAAAATAAAAAACATGTTTACTTTAAAAAGGTTAAACAGGGCAAGTATGATAAAAGAAGCTCTCTTTAATACATCCTCAACCCAGAGAGAAATAACCCGAAGCTGGGTAACTTCCTTTCAAAGTTCATAAATTTAAAAAAAAAGGTACAAGAATTATGCCTTGCTTTTTACTTGTTATATCACTGATATTTCCTCATATTAGTATCTCTGCCAGGACAGCAGAAGGACACGCAGGGTTAGAGGCAAAGAACAGTTCTGCACCATGGCTGCATAGTACAATAACTTTGGGAGCCTTAGAAAACTATACACAGGTGCCGCCTAGACCATCAAATCAGAATTTCCAAGGGCAGGAGATGGGGTTCCCGGGGTAATTTAATTCTCATGCACATCTGTGAGTAAGATACTGGGTGTGAGACTTCTGCAATTCTAGATCTCAGTCCTAACTTATAGAAGCACTGTCTCTTCTATGAACTGAAATTTACACTTCTACATTTGTGGGAAGATTGTGTGTGCCTATGTGTATATACATATGTCCATCTGTTTTACTGAGAATTGAATATGGAGCCTTCACATTGAGATACAGTCCCTGTCCTTTAAAGGTTTTTAAAATTCTGAGAAGAGTGTCCTAAGATGCCTGGGCTGAATTTGAACTTGGAATCTTCTTGTCTCAGCCTCAAGAGTGCTAGGATTACAGGTGTGTAAAAAACAGTTTTATAATTTTGTCATTTATATTTTTCTGAAATGTACCTAGATAGAGCCATTCCAAATGCTTCTATGAATTACTGATCTTTTTTTGTTCCTTAATCATTTCTAAGAGGTTGTGGCCTTCATTTTATCATGTCACTACGAAAAAAAAAAAAAGGCTAGACTTCATAGTAATTACAATGAAATTAAGCTTTTTCTTAGCTCTGTAGAGACATGATCTCATTTAATGTCATACTACAGTTATTATTTAAGAGATGAAATCTCAGCACAAAGGTGTTAATTAAGCAGTAGAGACAGGATTTTGAACACTCAAGAATTAGTTCTGAGGGCCTGTATTCTGGGAAACTCACTGAATTCTAACCTCAAGAGCTTTTACATATTAACCCTAGGAAAGAAAAATGATGCACCTCAATTTTAGTATAATCCTACATGGAAGGAGCAAATCAAAGCAGTCACCAGTGCAGCATATTTCTTTAAAAATTCAAGTTCTCAGAAATTCTAAGTAGGAAAAGCTTTCTGTAATTCTTCAGAGGAATTATTCTCTGAATTATGCTTCAATTTCTTCTATTTAAATTCTTACTTCTAGTTCTGCTAATAGTCTTCAAAGAGCTCCAACACTGGAATAATTATAGACATGTTATATTCAAAATTACCCAGTGTTTCCTACCACCAGTCATATTAAACTATAATGAGGTTTTATAAATGTCTGTTGTCAATACAGTGCTGCTGCCTGGAAATGATTAGTAAGTGTCCAAAGGGCTGTAAGCCTCGGGGAGAAGCTGTGTGTACAGAGGTATGTGTAGGTGAGTAGATGTGGGGGTGTTGCTAACTCATTGATGGAAACCTACTGATAGATATTAGCCACTTACAGGTTTCCACTTTATTATTGTTATTTTTCAATTGGGCCAGGGAGTCAGGGTATTATTATATCCTTTCATTTCTCTACTTTCTCCTATTTGCATTGCTTGAATTTCCCATTCGAATGGTATTTCAAAATAGAAACAAATAATCTAGCATCAGTGGTAGACATCAAGTTATAAGGAGGGTTTTTTTCTTTTTTTTCTGGATCAAATATTCTTGCAGAAAAATGTTAGTGACAGAGGACCTATTTTCTATGGGAAGGATTGCCAAGTTCCATCAAAATATGTCATATCTTTTTCTTAGCTCTCAAAAGAAGAAAAACCATCTAGACATTAAGAAGCCACAGTCAGTTTCAGGGTTTAAGAGTTATACCTTCCATCTGCTTTAGCTATAAATACAGCTGATGAGGAGAATTATTCAGGACAGTGGCTTTCAAACTTTAACGTGCAGCAGAATCATCAGGAAGCTGATGAACACAGATGGCCAGGCCTTATTTCTAGTGTGTGACTCATGGGTTGCAGATGAAGCCCAAGAATCTGCATTTTTAACAAGTTGCTACTGGCCAGTGACTACCCTCTGTCAACTCCTGGGGTAAGGGGAGCTCACATACATCCCTCCTTACAACACTGTGCCTTTATTCATGCAAACCTTCAGAGCTGAGGTTTGGAGTCATACTCCAGACTAGTGTTTCAAGTGGCAGAACGCATTCTGTGGCTTTAGAACCTAAGTAACCCACATCCTTCTCCAACAATGGTGTGGAAAAAAGAAATCAAGCTGTCTTGAGTCCCTCCCTGACTATCTTTAAACTTCTTACAAAGTAGCTGGAGTAAAATTCAAAAGGAAAATGTTTCTGCAAAGCCTATTTCGAAGGGGTGGCTCGATCACAAGAAGACTGGCATACTCACCAGAGAGGAAATATACCCAGCCGTGTGGTGATAAAAACCATGGCAAACATAACAAACAGGAGGTCACATAGTTTCTGAAACTTGGCATAATTTGCCATTTTGGCAGCCTGCAAAAGGAAAGAATATACTACATTAATTTAGTCAAACTGATAAATGACCAAGTTTTTTTTCAGTATGCATGAGCCCCCTAGAAGATATCAGATACATAAAATCTCCTGCTACTTTAAAATGTCATGCATCATACATCAGTATTTATAAATTACCCATGAGTGAGTGAAATGCAGCATTAGCTGTAAGTAGAACTACTGACTGTCACAGATTTAATAAAATATTCAGCAACCTGAAAAATTCAATTATATGGTTGATTTCAGGAAAACAGACAAGAAAAATAAGAAACTTATGCATTATAGATGATGTTAGCAAGCCAGACACCATAACAGAAGTCTGGCATTAATGGGTCAAGATAGAAAGTGTTAGATAATCCTTTAAACTGTTTCTGAATCCCAAATATTGAGCCTGCGAGCTTGATACTGACTATATAGAATTTTTCTGCATCTGTCTTCTTCTCCACTTAGAACTAAAGATTTTCTTTAAACAGGCACAGGGAGTACTCTAGGATGACAGTTTCCTGGCTTAGTCTCATAAACAGAAATGAGAAGTATCAAGATCATGTTATTTCAACTAACTCATTTAGGAAGAGTTTTCAAAGTTACAGTACTGGGTCATTTTCTAAATGAATGTCACTGATGTTCAAAGTGTCTAGGAAAGTACTCTCATAATTTATGACAGTGATTTAAGATGTTTTAAATATGATAAATTAAACCAGGGAAGAAATCACGCCCCTTTCTCTCATGTCACTTTTTCAGATGACCCTATGAAGAGATGAGACTAAAAACAGACTTTTGCTTGATTGTTTCTTTTACATTTTCACATAGAATCCACAGTACCGATACGCAGTTATAAACTGAAGATATCTTCTGTGTCTTTAACATAATTTTCTACTTCTTGGAAAATTAAATTAGTTGAGTCATACTTGAAGCTTGTGGACAGTGTCCTCAGAAGTTCTAATTCAATAGCTTTAAGTAAAGTACAAAGCTATAAGAGAAATATATTCCTGATATGAACATCCACTAACTGAGCAGAAGGCCAGGTTATGAGCTCTTAATTTTATGAATATTTGGATGCAACTTCATGCATTTTGGTAAAAGGAAAACTATCCTCTGTCTCCTTCAGTTAGGTAAACCCTGTAAATTTTCCTTTATATTCATCATTCATCAGAATTTAATAAACACAAATATGAGCTTTTCTAAATGTCTAGGTCCCATCTCAAAGACCTCACTAGTTAGACATTATTTTTTTTTTGTCTTTTTTTTTGAGACAGGGTCTTACTATGCAGTTCAGGCCGGCCTTGAGCTCACTTTGTAGCCCAGGCTGGTCTCAAAATCGCAAGGATCCTCCCACCTCAGCCTCCCGAGTGCTGGGATTACAGGCGTGAGTCACCACGCCCGGCTTTAGTTAGACATTCTTAAGAGTAATTTTATAATGTCAGAAGAGAATTCAGATAATGAAGAATACTTGCTTAAGCCAACTGACTTGAGACTTCTGGGTGCTTTTACTTTTCTGGATAAAAGTAGTAGATGACAACTGAACCAACATTTTCTGAATCTTGGCTCTGCCAGGCACTATGGGAGGGATTTCCATAAGTACTAAAGGTGGTTTATTATACAGCATCAATTTCAAAAGAGTAGGCTGCTGTATAGATTTCTACTTCTGAGCCTATAGTGGTTAACCAAATGATAACTGATTTTCAGGGACTCGTCCTCATGTTAAATGTATTTCTTTTTAACAATACGTTGAGTACAGTTGAACTTGAATCACTTAAAATCATAGCACAAACCATTTTCTGATTTATCTAGCCCGTAAGGCTATCTTTGTGTTTTATAGTATGAAAGAGACCAGATTTTTAATTTAATAAAAATTTATTACGAAAATGTACATGACCCAGTTTTCAGACATAGTGAAAGTGGCTCTCTGGAAAGGGGGTATAAGTTTGCTGCCGAACAAATCTCATTCCATGCCTCTGACATGATGATACTAATCCCTTGTATTCCCACCACTCCAGCATCCTTCTGTTGACACTAATTGCCATCTCTATCCATTCACCTAACATGAAATTAAAAAAGAGATTAAGCCCTTGAAAGAGTCCTTGGAAATGTCTGCCATCATTTAATTTCAATGATAACTTCTTGTCTATGTATTTTTTGTTTTGTTTTTAACTCAAGAGGATGAGCTTTGCCCCTGTCATCTACTCCACAGGCTCAGAGCTCCTTTGGGAGTTTTAACAAAGAACTATATTTACTTCAAACCTTAACCAACTGCATTAATAGTAGGTTCAATGCTATAGATTTTCCTTACATTGCAGTAACAAGCTACAACTTGAGGACAATTCTATTCAATGGTCACAGTAATGATAAATGTGACTGAGCTGGCAAATCTGTGGGCCAACAGTAATTTCAAAAGCTGGAATAGAGATTCTCAGACACATTTCTACTCTTTTGAATGTGTATACTTGTAAGTTAATCTCAGTCAGTCATTAAATATATTAACATAAAGTGAAAAGCCTTTTACTTAGCCACGATTAATATTGTTGAGCTTGATTCTTGAAGTGGTAAGTTCTTAGCCAGGTGAGGTTTGTGGATCCCTTTAAGCACAACACTTTGGGAGGGTAAGGCAAGAGGATGAAAGTTCAAGTCCAGCTTGGGCAACTTAATGATTTCGTGAGATCCTGTCTTGAAATTTTAAAAGTTATAAAACAAGAGCTGGGAATGTAGCTCAGTCTGAGGATCCTGGTTCAATCCCAGTACACACACACACAGAGTAATAAACTCTTTAACCAGTTTCTATACATAATTTGCAAGTCACACATACTCCTTCATTGTAAAAAATACTAGGAAAACATGTACACTCGCAATAAATCTGTTACTCAATTTTGTTGGATGTATAGTTCCCATTAGTAACTAAACTAAGTTATCTAGCATTTTCAGATAAATCAGTGTGAAATTTATAACACAAACCTATCAAAACAATGACTTTTAATTGTAAAATAAATCATTTAAGGTGTGAAACAGTAGAGGTTTACATCATTCTGTTAATAAAGAATGTTATGATGATCAACTTCTTTGTATAAAAGTTTATAGGCTACAGTCTGACTTTCTTTAATTTCACTACAAAGAAATACCCCAGAGTTTCAGAGAACCATCTAGCATGACACAGAAGAACCTATGATCTTGGGAACTTCAAGGGTTCTGGTTCTAGTATTAGTAAAGACGATGGAAAACTTTTACCTCTAGAAGAGAATCAGCTGAGTCCAAAAGACAGAGGACCAGGGTCCCTACTCGGGCCATGTTATTGACATATGAAAAGGTGATCAATAAAATCGTTACCAGGTGGTGCACGAACATAATGCCAAAGTCCTTAAAGAGGAAAAGACATAGCCACATTAGAGTTCAGCAACATCATGACATTTCCATTCACCCACCAACCAATAAACCAGTACTTACTGAGACCCTCTGTAGGTCTAAAACGGGATACTAAAATGAATAAAATAGAATTCCCATCCTCTGAATTTTATCATATAGTGGCATAGACATAGGAGAGCTAGGACCACACAGAATATGATCAGGACAAAAGCCAGGAAGGAAGAGTGATTTTTAATAAGCTAAAGAACTTGAAACTATAAGAGGAATCACCACAGGGTTCCAAGCAAAGAAGGGTACAACTTAGAAGGACGTACTACTTTGCTACAGTTTGGACAAGTGTCTCCCCAAAGACCTATGTGTCCTATGTGTTAAAGGTTTCGCCTCCAGTCCATGGTGTGAACAGAGGGTGACAGAACTTTTTTTTTTTTTTTAATCGGTACTGGGGATCGAACTCACGACTGCCTGCTTGCAAGGCAGGTTCTTATGCCATGAGCTAAATCCCCAGCCCCAAGATGACAGAACTTTTAAGAGATGGGGGCTAGTGGGAGAAAGTCAGGTTGCTGTCGGTGTGCCTTTGAAAGAGATATTGGAACCCTGGCTCCTTCCTGACTCTCTTTTTTTCTTCTGGCTGTCATGAGGTGAACAGCTTCTTTCACAGTGTGCTCTCAACATGATGTATTTCCTTGCCACAGGCCCAAAGACAAAAGCCAATTTCTTATAGACTGATACTTCTGAAACCAGCAGTTCAACTAAACCTGTCCTTCTTATAAGCTGATTTACCTCAAGTATTTTGTCACGACAACAAAAATCTGACTAATACAATTTTAACAAGATCTTCTTGGGAGCAGTGTAGGTTAACTAGTCCACTTCTCTGTTTACTAGTGGGTGTAATTTCCAAACTATAGGTTGCATTTCTGACCAGTATGTAGCATCTTTGAAGGGACAGCTGGCTCAGGCTGGGACAAAAGTTACTGAATAGCTCTCAGACCCAAGTCCTCTGCTTATAGGAGGCCCTGTGGGCCACACTGTAAGGTTTGAACAGTGCTACACTCTAAATGCTTATGCCTACCTTCCCCTTGTGGTCTTATGTTAGAATCCTAATGCCCAAGGTAATGGTGATTGGAGGCAGGTCTCTGGGAGGTCATCAGGCCAGGGAGCCAGAAGCCTCATGAACTGGATTAGTGTCTCTACAGAAGAGTCCCTGAAGAGCTGCCTGTCCCTTCATCTTGTGAGGACATGACCAGAGGTGTCATCTATATCTAGGAAACGGGCCTCACCTGATATCATCTCTGCCAGTGTCTTGGTCTCAGATGTTCCAACCTCCAGAACTGAGAGATGTTTTTGTTTTTAACAAACTACTTACTCTATGGAATCATTCTACAGAAGGCTAAGAAGATTATGACAAGTGGTGCTGGGTTTTGTGATCTTATATACATTTCACGGAATGTGCATCTCAAGTTAAGCATCCTACCTCCTGAACATGCTTCCTAGGGTACTAAAATAAGAACCTTAACATGTTGGATTTTCTGAGAGGCCCTACACAAGCACTCCTGAATTTTAACCATTATCTGTTCACAGTCATTTAAAAAAAAACTGGGGGCAGAAGGAATATCAAAATGATCATCTTTATTTTAGCCAATTTCAAAGGAGCTACCTAAGGGAAAAGATTTTCTTCCTCTGTTATTATTTCCTGACCATCTGGACATGGTTTGACAGGACATGGAACTTCTGTTACTACAGTCTGTTTTACTGATTTTTATTGTAGTTTCCATGTGTCTTGGAGTAGACCTGAATATTAGCTCTAATATTGCTCTAACTGAACAAAACCTTTTGAGAAAGACTACTCTTCTATAGACCAATTAACCAAAGTGAAAAGCATATTACAAAACTAAACTATGAATGCCAGGTGTGATGGAACATGCCTATAATCCTGCACTTGGGAGGCTGAGGCAGGAGAATCATTACCAATTTGAGGCCAGCCTGACCTGCATAGCTAGACCATGTCTAACAAAACAAAACAAAGTCCCAATTAGCATATGATCAAATCCTGGTTACATAAAAACCGCAAGACATAGGTTACATCTGATGGAAATTTTTTCAAATAACTATTCTTGGAGGTCAATTTTCATGTGGCCATTAATTCAACATTGGCAAAAATATTTATCACATATTTAGTATGCCCTGAAGTTCAGGGAGAAATATGCAAAGAAAATACAAAAGATGTATGTCCTTGTGTAGCTTAGATATCCTAGTTGGGGAAAGCAGACACTAAGCATCATAAGTAAATGATGCATACGCAGGAAGGTGAAAAGTGCCACAAGGAAGCTCCATAATCATGAGGCAGCACCAAGGTAAAGGCTCTGTCCATCAGTCCCTGAATTCTGATGCGTTCAAGGAATAGCACAGAGCACGGCCAGAGTGAGAGAAGAATTGAGGAGAGTGGTAGCATTCTTTATGCATAGCTTTCTTTTTACTAGCTTATTTCTACCTATCAGTAGTGTTTTTAAAAGACAATTTAATTTGGTGAATTGAAAGTACTCACTCAACCAGATAATTCCTGGTATATGACTAGTCTCAGTAACGTATGTACTCACAATGAACTGAGAATCAATGAGGTCAAGAATAAAGTGATTTCAGGGGCTTTGAAAACAATTTTATTTGCTGTATTGGAGTACTCACAGGCACTCGTAAGTATTCTCCTGGAATACATCCTGTCATCGTCACCATGAAACAGGACTAAATTCTTACTCTGACAGGTGTCTTTCCAACCTTCCTCACATTCCATTGGTCTGGACTATTTCCCAGTCTGTTCTCAGGATAGACAATTGTACATGTTACCCAGTGGACAACTGGGTAACAGCCCTCAAGTTGGTGGAAACCCAGCCAAGCTACTTTGATTTTTTCTGACTTACTGACACTGACAATTTGGTCAGGGACAGGTACCGGTTCTTTGGAGATTCAAGTTCATCTTTTACCCCAGGAGAACATGGAGACCCTTGGGTGCCTCCTCAGGTTGGAGGTGCCTAGTTCTATTCTCTGCACTTGTTTAGCTCTCATGGCTTCTGCCCTGGTCCCTAATTCACAGGGTGAAAGGGACACTTTCCTTTGGGCCTGTCCTTATCCTGGCTCTAAAGTAAAGTTGCCTTTTTCACACTCAGACAGCTATGTGTTTCTATTCTCCAGTTCAACTCAATTAAACAATTACTTTTCAGTGAGTTTGCCTGTGGTGAGATAATTTGTATTTTGAAGCAAAAGTTCGAAAAAGTTAAAACCATTGTCTTTATAAACATGAATAGACTTTTCAAGAATATGTGCATCTTATTTAGCTTGATGGAGATTATACAGAGTTTATTGCATGCGAGCCAACTTGTAACCCAGATTCCGACTCATTAATTTTGTAATTTTGGTAAGGGGATCGATTTCCTCCTCTGCACAGTAAGTGCATTAGGCTGAAGTTGTCAACTCTGTAATCCTCGGCTTGATAGCTGCAGTAATGAGACAGCGCTTAAAAGTCTTTAACCTACTTATTTCCTACCTGGAGTGGGAGAGTGAGTATTTACGCAAGCAAGAACATGAACACACCCTCTACTCAGTACCTGTTCCAGTCACTACATTTTGGGATTGGAAAAGTTAACTTAAACAAATTTGTTTAACTGGAGCTGTGTGCGATTTTCTTCCCCCAGAAGTTGCTTAATATTTATGGATACATCCATGCTCATTGATTACTGAGATAAACAGGGTACTAGTTTCCTAAATATGGTCAGATTTTGAATGAAATTCAATTATTTCTCTCACTTTCCATTAATATAGTCTCCAAACTAGCCACGCAGCACTGATGATGGAGACCACAGGCAGAAGAATCACCAGTGCTGTTTCAGTTAATTCTAACCTGAACCACATTCAGCAAATCCATGCCATCTGTCGACCTCATCTATGCTCGTTCCTTCCGAATCATATTTATATCTGTTCTGAGGTCTCTGGCAGACAAGGAACTATGATAATGCTCTGAGTTTAATGAGTAATTATATGCAGGTGCAGCTTAATAGTTTGGGCTACACCTGCAATTCTGACATTTTTGTATTACCTAGGGTTTGCTAAGTCATTAAAGGTAGACAATATCAAAATGCCTTAGGCATACAGTAAAAATTGCACAGTGATGTTTTCTACTAGAAAATGAAATCTTTTCTCTCCAAGTTATTATATATTAGGTTCCACCTGGTGTACAGTGTTCTTCCAGATAATAGCAGCTTCAAAACAATAGCCTAGTTAAACTCAAGCTAATTTATCAACTGATATTTTAAACTGTTTCTTAAATATAATTAAAACACCCAGTGCTTAATTCAACAGTTCAATGAGTTTATATTTTCTTATGCTTAACACACAGATAGCTGAGTACCTACCCAGAACAATACCTGCACATTTATCATTGTTCAGCTCTGAATGATGCTTTTGGCTCACTGAAAAACAATTCTTCTCTATTTAATTTTAGAGTGAATAAATGTAAATGGATTAAAACATACAGAGGATTAGAACAATTTTATAATTAAATTTCCTAATTCATATCTGATATAAACATCAACAACACAATGTCCTTGAATAAAGTAAGATTCATTGAAAAATAAAAGACTTCTTTTTAGACAAAGTTTGCTTTGTGAAGATAGTTTTTGCATATAAATTTCCTGGACCTAGAAAATATCTATTTTATTACTGTGGGACTCACAGTCATTCCCATAGCAGTAGACCAATTTTCATTATAGTCATATTTGTATGAATATGAAAAAGCCATGAATAATGGAATTGGTCTTTTACATTTCTGCTTCAGAAAGCATTATAAACAATGAATACCTTTAATGAAAGCTATGCAGTCATGAATTTATATGCTGTTCACATCCTCTCACCCTGACACGTTTCTCTGAGTGGGCACAGAATCTGGCTCAAATAACATTTTTAAACAAAACTGTCACTTCAGATTTTATCAATACAAGGTGAAAATT